ATAAAATACAAAAGTAGGCCTTGGCCACAGAATGTAACGGGAACCAAAGGCAATTAAGTACCTTCTTATCGGTTTTAGCGAAAGAAAAATAATATATATTAATAGACAAAAAAGGACATGACGTTGCCCTTTTAATATCACCACTAATGGTCATATCGACCATTTAGTGGAAAGAACCACCAACGCAAATTCCCAGTGTCTACGTATCATTCTCTCACCAACAGTTTCGCGACACCGTTTAAAGTGAAAAAATAAAAAGGGACACCAATTAATAATCAATTACTAATACTATAAAAAAAAAAGTCCCTCTTTAATATATAAATATATATTATTATTTATCATAATTATAAATATTGTAATTGATTTTTTGTTATAATTTTAAGCTAAAACAATTCATTATTTACATGCATTATATTCTCACTCGCTCCATAAAACTAAAAGTTTAAATCAATCACTCAATCGAGTAAATTAGAAATGATCATTAATTAAGTAGGTATAATTAAACCACATATCAAGCACCCACCCAAGGGTAGCTTGAATTGCATAATTTGCCTCAATATTTTAATTTCACATGATCATTTGCTATATGTACTTTTGCACGTGACACCCAAAGAATAAAATTGTTCAAAGAGGATGAGACAACCCCTGGTATGGTTTAAAGATTATATTATTGCTTAGCCAAATTATTGTTATAGGGTCTTTTTCTGATATTAATTAATTTAGTCAAGTTTTATTAGTCGAGTTATTATTAGAAGTTGAAGTAGTGTTTGAATTAAGTATGTTATATATGATTATGAATATTACTCATTATAGAATTATGATATTATACCATTCGAATCCTTTTAGGATTAATAATAACTTATAAGTCTATATAAGAAACCTAAACTATGATCATCATTGTATTTTTATTGGAATAGGATTATATTCTAATATGCTAAAGTCAGTTTTTTTTTTTTTTCCAATTAAGAGTAAATTGTGGGCAAAGATCAGCCGCTAAATATTAATGAAATAAATTAAACAAAAAAAAAAAAAGGAGACCAAAGTTTTAAAAACCCTTCTTTTTTTTTTTTTTTTTTTTTTTTTTTTTTTTTTTTTTTTTTTTTTTTTTTTAAATACAACGGTGGGATTCAAAGCAATGGCACTCTTCTATCTATTGCGTTTAACACCTGAGGCAAACCAGCTGACTTGTTTCTTCCTTACTAATTATATATATTTACTTTCGATGCCAAAGATTAGAGTACACATTTTTATGATCCGAAATAAAGAGTTTGTTCATCAAAATAAGAGTATAATAGACTTTTATTTTTAAATATAAATTAAAGAATAGTTTAGAACGCACTCTCTGTCTCAATTTTATTTAATAAATTATAAGTTTCTATGTATTTTATTATAATTATCCTTTTATTAAGTATTCTTTCTATTTATTAAGTCTAATTTAAAGAGTATAATAAATTAAAATATAATTTTATTCTTATATTTAGAAATCAATAAAATACCTCACTATTACGTGAAATTACTCTTTTAAGATAAAGAATACTTTGGATGTTATTGCAAGCCTTGTTGATACCATCTGCTTTGCACAAAGTTAGATCATATCTTCAAAAACTGTTTAGGAATAACACCCATTGAGCCAGATCATCCAAAATCCTACAACCATATCTTCAAAAAGCCTCATCAATCTTTCCACACTTAGCAAGGCATCAATAGTGCATTGTAGCAATATGAATCCTGTGGGCATCCCTTCTTACCACTCTTCGAAGAATTCCTCAGCTCCATCCACTCTCCCCGCCTTCCCCAGATCATCAATGAGATTAGAATAAAACATGGCATTAACCGCTATACCATTACCTCTACAGAACTCAAAATTACATCCCACCGCCTCCTCCAATCGCCCACTCTTACACAAATCAATTCAATTTTTCCCAATTCAGTTTTACAAAGAAATCAAGAGACCAAAGGTGCTCACTTCACCCAATTCAATTTTTCCCTTTTTCTTTGTAACACTGAAGAAAATTAGGAAAATCAAAGGAGAGTTCATAGGGAAATTCCCATTTTTGCCCAATTCAATTTTTCCCCTTTTCCCTTTTTTCTCCCAATTCAATTTTTCCCTTTTTCGCCCAAACCCTAACCCTGACATTAGCTACAAAGTCACGACAAAAAATTTAGGAGAATCAAAGGAGAGTTCATAAACCAAAAAAGCAGCTTGAGATCTTGAATTTCGGGTTCTTTGGGCTAGAAATCAGTAAGTTCTTTATCTTTTATTCTTGCTGACATAGGTTGTTTGATCTTTAATTTATGCGATCCTGGATTATGGATTATGTTACTTTTATTTTTATTTTTATTTGTTTCAGATGGCTGTATCAAACAAGAAATTTTGTCCTCTGTATTTATTAAATTTTACAAAATGTAACAGCATGAATGATTGTTATGGTCGATCTCATCTTTTTATAAATATCGAATGATTTATTTCCTAATTATATATTGTTATTTATATTTTACATTAAAAAAAATAAAAGAAAAGAAAAAAAAAAAGCCCTTTGAAGTTAAAACCATTACAAGAAACAGGGGGCAGGAAAAGGGTTAATCTGAATCTGATCATAAGAAGTGATGTTGTCTTTGGTTTTTCAATTGTACTTTTAAACTTAGATCTTTGTGCCTATGAATATCTTCCCCCGAAGACTAATTGCTATTTAGTCATTAATTAAGTAGTTTGTATTTGGGTTTAAGAATGGTTTTTATGGTATGAGTTTGTTTTACTCCATTGTGTTTCTTTGGTTCATCATTTAATTTATTTTTGGTTAATTTAGTCAACTAAACCATTGACCATTTATATACCATTAAATTAGAAGTTTTTTTTTTTTTTAAAGATATTGATTTTTATGCATAAGGCATTTGTAGTAAAGTGTTAGTGAATAATGTTTAAAACTAGAAATTTCCAACATTTTTACTTTTGGATGTTTTAGGCTGTTTGTAGGTTTTTGATCGACTTAGAATTTCAAATTGAGTTCAGAGCCTTCTGTGAAGTTAAAGTAGACATCTCAAGCTTTTTAGAAAGGTTCGGTTTGTCAAATTTCGACTTCGTTAAAAATGGCATGAAGGGCCTTTGAGTTAAAGTTAGAAGCATCTAACTCAGCCTCTGTCCACTATCTATTGGTTTTGGTTTGCTCACACCTTCCTCTTCAATTTCAAGTGCACTCCAACTAACCACACATGACATCCATACTCTCTCATCAATGGATTTCAAGAACGTTCTCATCTTAGGTTCCCAAAAAGGGTAGTTGTGTCCTTCTTGCATGGGTGGTCTATTGGTAGACCCACTTTCACTAAAAAAGTTCATGGTAAAAATACAGTAGGTGTCGTCACAGCCAAAACTGATGTGGTCACACACTAGCATAGTAAAATGGGGTCGTGACCCATAGCATAGTCAAACATAAAAGGCCAATGTGGCGACACAAAACACAAATGTGGTCACACAAGGTCTATAGCGAGCAAACTGCTCAAAATCGCAAAATAAAAGCAAAAATGCAACAAACACCAAATCAAGATAAAAGCACAACTAACGAGCAACAATCTATTGAAATGACTCTTCAGAACACGCTCTAATACCAAATGAAAGTTTTAATTACTTTACTAATTATTAAACTTTAGCGGATTGGGTTAAACTTGTACATTTTGTGCTTATGGGTTTGTTCATTCATCATCAACACAAACTAAACATCCATGGCAAAATGTAAAGCATGAAAGCAAATTTACATGATTTGGCAACCTGCCTACATCCATGGGACCAAGTCCAAACGAAGCTAATCCATTATGATAAACATTTATAGTTCAATTACAAAGTCAAAGTTAAACATCAGTTGTAAAACACTTCTTGTTATGACAACAATTTAAATTTCACTCTTTGGTTGAACTTCAAACTACCATAGCTAGCTTTACTACATGAGACCACCCCATCAGCCTTGAGCTCCTCTCAATGTTCAATACCAAGACACACTTCAGCTCCAAAACTTGAAATCCCATTAAGCATCATCATCATCATCATCATGATCATCAAAGAAACCAAGTTTGAACAACACTCAAACAAAGGTTAACAAGGTATTTATAAGCCTATCTAAGCATAATGAAACTTGATTCAAAACAAAAGAAACTTCAAAGAATATGCAAAGAACTTTTAGAGGTATATTCAGGCTTCAAGGAAAATGCAATAGTAAAGATGAATATAAAGGAAACTTGCTCAACAATGCAAGAGGACAACCAGCCAAAAAGCACTTTTTGTGTTTAACCATTTTAGGAAAGTTTTCACTTAACTTTCTAGGGGATGAACACTTAGTGTCATGACACCAGAAAAACATAAAACAATTGTGCATTAACAAAGTGATGTTACGACATCAAAAATTAGTGTCACCACACTGAATTCATAATTTGACAAAAATACTTACAGTACCAAAGTAATAAATTTAGTAGTTACATGCTCTTTATCAAACTATTTTCATTCATAAATCTCACTTCCATTGCTTGACAATAGAATTAGAGTTTATGATTATAGTAACTGAATTTTCCAAGAGCTAATTTGTAAACATCTTTGATGGATATTCCTAGCACCCTAAACAAGCCATCTATAAGATATTCTCCTAAAAGGAAATAGAATCAAGGTTTAATGATATATTTAGAAGGATTAAGGAAGTTAAGTCAAATTAGGGAATGAAACTAGTTTGGATCCATTTGCAAAGTGGAATCAGATCCCAAATTTCCTTAAAACACTCATTCTATTCATCCTATCTGATTTCCTACTCTTCCAAGGGATGTATTTGTTAAGAAATATATGGTTATTTTGTTTTATTGTTTATTAAGGGTAGAATAGTCTTTTCAATTTCCTTTGTTTAGCCTACATATAGTCTCTTTGTATTTAGGTTAAATCATTCTTTTGTATTCAAATGTATCGTGCAGTATCAATAAAACCCTAGCCTCCTCTTTTTTCTTATTTCTTTGGATTGTTTAACATGGTATCAGAGCCAAGTTTCATGGGACGAGGCTTAATCTTAAACACAGCTTACGTGGATCCAACTATGAAGGATTTTAAACACACAAGGTTTGAAATGAAGGATTTGGGTTCTCTACGATATTTCTTAGGTATTGAGGTAGCCTGCTCACCTAGAGGTTATCTTCTTTCTCAATTGAAATATGTTGTAGATATTCTTGAGCAGGCTAGACTTACTAATAATAAGACTATAGATACTCCGATTGAGGTTAACGCAAAGTATTCTTCTTCTAATGGTTTACCTTTGTCAGATCCTACTTTATACCGTACTATTGTTGGAAGCTTGGTATATCTCACTATTACTCATCCAGATATTGCATATGCTGTTCATGTTGTTAGTCAGTTTGTTGCTTCTCCTACTACAGTTCATTGGGCAACTGTTCTTTGTATTTTGTGGCATCTTCGGGGTACAGTCTTTCAGAGTCTTTTACTTCCATCCACTTCTTCCTTGGAGCTGCGTGTATACTCTGATGCTAATCATGGCAGTGATCCCACAGATCACAAGTCTGTTACTGGTTTCTGTATCTTTTTGGGTGATTCTCTTATTTCTTGGAAGAGCAAGAAACAATATATTGTTTCTCATTCTTCAATCGAAGCAGAATATCGTGCTATGACATCTACTTCCAAAGAGATTGTTTGGTTGTTGGTTACTTACAGATATGGGAGTTTCTCTTTCTCATCCCACTCCTATGTATTGTGACAACCAGAGTTCTATTCAGATTGCTCACAACTCTGTTTTTCATGAACGAACTAAGCACATTGAGATCGATTGTCACCTTACTCGTCATCACCTCAAGCATGGCACCATTACCTTGCCCTTTGTTTCTTCTTCTTTGCAAAATGCGGATTTCTTTACCAAGTCGCATTCTATTTCCCGTTTTCATTTTCTAGTTGGCAAACTCTCGATGCTTGTAGCCACCGCATCGTGAGTTTGAGGGGAGATGTTAAGAAATATATGGTTATTTTGTTTTATTGTTTATTAAGGGTAGAATAGTTTTTTCAGTTTCCTTTGTTTAGCATATATATAGTCTCTTTGTATTTAGGTTAAATCATTCTTTTGTATTCAATTGTATTGTGCAGTATCAATAAAACCCTAGCCTCTTCTTTTTTCTTATTTCTTTGGATTGTTTAACAGTATTCTTCTAAAACTCTATCTGCTTGACTATAGAAGGAGGCTAATGGCGTTGGATGATTATAACAATTCACACGAGAAAAACATCATGCTTGGGCATTCCTATTCGCAGAAACCTTGTTTATATTGTAGGGATCAGCAGCGTTGCAATCCAGAACAACTCTAGAGAAGTCAATCTGGGGGCAGAGTGGAAAAGTCATAAGTAGACCAAGGGCAAGATAATCTATTCATATTGGTGCTATGTTTTGGCATCGACAATAAATTAAAAGAGAAAATAAAAATTTTAAATTAATAAAACAAGGAATTATCATGCGTTGAGTATACATATAACTCTTTTATATATGTCTTATTTAGTAATTTTATAAGGGATAAAATTATGATTATAAAAAATACTAATGACACTACCCTTAACTTTATTTTGGTTAGTTTAATTATCTTGTAAAGTATCAATAATGTTAAATTCAATTTTCTTATAATGTGTTACAGTAGTGGATTAATTGGATTTGTTTGAGTAGATTTCTCTAACTAGTACAATAAATTATTACATTTATCAATCTCTAGAATATTCTTCTATTTCACTATGAGCTTCTTCTTTGTTTATTTGATGGTAAATTTTGTTGTACTATAAAGTATAAACGGTTCATGTGAAAAGCACACGAGAATAGCAGGGAGTTTTATTAATTTGCACGCCTAATTAAAAAGTTGACATTAATTATGTTTTTAATTGTCTTTAGATTTAAAGGGTTGCCCATGTTATCTCTGATTCAATCTTCATCTTTTTCTTTTTAAATTCACTTAAATAATTTATTGTTAAAGATTTTCCTCAAAGTCAAACTTAATATATAAGATAGAAAAAAGATTAGTTTTAAATAAGTATGAAAGAAAAAATTATTACGAAAACATTGGAAATTAATTTATCGTAGTAGTTAATTAATTAATTTGTTAGAAGAGATTAAAAATTGTGGTCATATTACATGAATTGACTGTGATTATCAACTCCTGTTAATTATTGGTTATTAAATTGTGGTCTATAATTAAATGAATGAATATAATTATATATTAGCTTAAAGCAAAAGATATAAATATATCTTAATTAATTAATGTGCATCACTTTATTCCAATTCACTAAAGAGTCGTAGTTATGAACTTATGACGTCCAGGTTCATGATGCCCATTATAAGCACCGAGTGCATAACCACTTTGCTAAGTGTCCTTTATATTACTTTAAAGCGATATGGGTGTGAAAAACAAAAAATCTATGAACCAAGTTATTTAATTAAAGTTAACAAAAGACAATCAACTTGTATACACTTTAATTTTAACCAAGTTAATTAATATTACTTTAAAGCGATATACAACAAATCGTTTTTTAATTTATATTTGATTGATCCTTTTGAGACTAAACTTAATTACAATAAACCATATATATTTATGAGGCATAGTATTGATAGTTTTGTGCACACTACAGTACATATATAGTAGTGAAGATCAGTCTTCCGACATTCATCAGGCAACCAACTGCCCCATTAGTTTTTCAGAATCATTATTATCATATGTGTGAATAATGTAGAGTGGTACTACGAAAACATTTATGATACAATGGGGATATCATGTGACCCACACACCAATCAATACTAGGGCTGTGCAAAATTATTGAAATCTGAACAAACCATAATTACTAAAAATTCAACTATTAAATTAGTAATTTTTTGGGGGGTAATCAAGCTTTAACAGAAAGAGAAAAAGAATGTACAAATTGACATATAAAAGATAGCCAACTTACCATAAGACAAATCCCTATGATAGAGAAAAACAAAAGCATAACCAAGACAAAAGAGCTATACAAAATATTATCTCTCAATGCACATCCTACCACAGGACAATATCCCTAAGTTATGATGAAAACAAAAGCCTATACAAGACAAAGACCATCTCTAAAGCATACACAATGCAGCCATCACCAAAACAAAGCCAACCAACAAAAATTATCCTTTCAGAATGCACATTGGTAACTCCCAATCATGAGCAAGACTCCTATTACTAATGGTTCTCTCATCATCCTAAGATTCATAGTTCTATCCCTCACAATTAACTTATTCATAGTAACGATTGAAGTAGCATCCTTGTACTCCCCACCAAACACTTTATTGTTCCTTTCCTTCCAAATCCAATAGACGGAAGCACCCAAACACAACTTCCCTAAGGCTTACTCCTCTTCCAATTAAGGGACAAGCCCTTGATATAGTCACTGTAAGACCTTCCCACGTAACCCATAGTGTTTATATCAAGAACCTGGCACCAAATGAACTTAGTAAAGTTACATGTGAAGAAAAGATGATTTAATGATTCACGGGCAGAATTGCAAAAACAACAATAAGAGTTTTGAGAGATACCATACCTCTCCTACTTGCCCTTGGTGTTGAGCTTCCCCTTGATGGCCATCTAAAAGGTCAAAGGATGTCTAGGGACAGATTTTGGAAACCACATAAGATGGCACCAATCAACCTTAGTCTTCCTCACCCTAATTTCATTCCAAGCTGAGTTAACCGAGAAGTCTTTAGCTACAAAAGGGACCCAAATCACTCTATCCTCCCTCATAGTGGGGTTGAAATTAACCATCCCTTTCATCTCCAATATGGCACAAGAGTTCGCTGCCAGCCATTTTAACTCACCAAGATTACAAATCTCACTAACCGGGTTTTTCAAAATGTTAATGACATTAGTGTTATCACAAAACACAATCACACACTCTTGATCAAAACCATAATCACCTAACATTTGTTTGATCCACAAAACCTGAGTACAACAATTCCCTACAACAATGTATTCAATTTTTGTAGTTGACAAGGAGATCGAATTTTGCTTCTTCCTGTACCATGTCAAAAGGTTGTTACCAAGATAAAAGCATCCATCTGAAGTGCTTTTACTATAGTCTAAGCTTCTAGCCCAATCAACATCACTGTAACCAACCAAGGTAGAGTTAGTATCATATGAAAACCACAGACCTAGGTTACATGTACCTAAGATGTACTTCATAATTCTCTTCACTACTGTCAAGTGAAGCTTAGAAGGGTTTGAGAAGAAACTGAAAGAAATCGAAAAATGAAGAGAAAGGAATTCAATATTATTGAATCTTTAGCAAAAGTGATGAGATTACAATATTAGGGATTTATAGGGTTAGCTTGATATCTTGCACAAATTCCTACACTAAAGCATATGTCTGGTCTACTAGCAATGAAGTACAACAGGCTTCCTATCATGCCCCTATACAACTTGGTGTCAACCTTTTTTCCATGTCTATCCTTGGGCAATCTAAGGGTAGAGCTCATTGGTGTTTTGGCATGTTTTGCATTTTCAAGTCCAAATCTTTTCAACATGTTTTTGACATATTTAGTCTGTGATACAAACATTCCATTCTCAAATTGTTTAATTTGAAGTCCTAAAAACATACTAAGTTCCCCTACCATGCTTATCTCAAACTCATTTTTCATTAAGCAAATAAACTCTTGAGACCGTGTGTGTGAAGTTGACACAAAAACTATATCATTTACACAAATTTGTGCAGACAAAACATCACCTTTAATATGCTTAATGACCAAGATTTTATCAACATTACCTTTCTTGTAATTGTGTTCAAGAATAAGTCTTTCATACTGATACGTTTACAAGTCCTAAAACACTTGTANTGTATTTTCAAGTCCAAATCTTTTCAACATGTTTTTGACATATTTAGTTTGTGATACAAACATTCCATTCTCAAATTGTTTAATTTGAAGTCCTAAAAACATTCTAAGTTCTCCTACCATGCTTATCTCAAACTCATTTTTCATTAAGCAAATAAACTCTTGAGATCGTGTGTGTGAAGTTGACACAAAAACTATATCATTTACACAAATTTGTGCACACAAAACATCACCTTTAATATGCTTAATGAACAAGATTTTATCAATGTTACCTTTCTTGTAATTGTGTTCAATGAGAGAGGTAAGTCTCTCATACCAGGCATGTGGGGCATATTTCAGCTCATAAAGTGCTTTCTTTAACTTTTGGACATGATCAGGTTTGTGTGGATCTTGAAATCTAGTAGGTTCTCCACATAAATCTCGTCCATTGACATCCCATTTAGAAATGCACTCTTCACATCCATCTAATATAGCTTAATCTTCAAACAACATGCAAAAATCAACAACAATCAGATTGACTCAAGTCTAGCAACCAGAGCAAAAGTCTCATCAAAGTCCACTCCCCCTGCTTGCATATATCTTTGAGCAACAAGTTTGGCTTTGTTCCTTACAATGTTTCCAAACTCATCAGATTTGTTCTTGAAAATCCATTTTGTCCCAATGACATTGATTATTTCAGGTCTAGGAACTAGACTTCAATGTCATTCCTCTCAAACTATTCAGGTTCCTATGCATGGCAGCAATCCAACAGTCATCCTCAAGAACTTGTTTGGCATTCTTGGGCTCTACAAGAGAAACATAACACAAATGTTAATTTCATTCATTCTTTTCCTTCTTGTAACAATTACCTCATCAGGATCTCCAATCACAATTGATGGAAGATGAGCTTTCTTGATCCATAAAGGTGGTTCTTTTCTGGTTGAGGTATTTCTCTAGGTAAATTTATCAGTTAGATAAACTATTAGTTCAATCCATTCATTTTGTGAAAAGTGTTCATAATTTGGTTCTTCTTCTAATTGAGCTCCAGGTGTATTCACATCTACCAAAGATGATGGCACATTTGTGTAAGCTTCTGGTGCTTGAGGTTCAGATGTGTTCACATCCTTTTGACTTGTGGACACATTCTGTGGGGCATATCAATTTCATCTGCCTGTGAATATTATTAATAATCCTCTTTTCTTAGAAAAGCTCTATTGGAAATGTGACAAGCAGTGTTGATTGCTTCAGTCCACAATCTCTTAGGAAGTTTCTTAGCATTCAACATCGCTCTTGCCATTTTTTGAAGCACTCTATTCCTCCTTTCCATAACATCATTTTGTTATGGTGTCTTTGGAGCTGAAAATTCAATGTTTAAGCCCTTGCATGTCACAAAACTGAGCAAAGTTAGCATTCTCAAACTCCTTCCCATGATCACTTCTAATTCTTATAACTTTCTTCACCAAGCAAGTCTGTTCAAGTTGCACTTTCTTAACCAAGACTTGAA